GTAAACAAAATGCGTATACATTCAACAGGAAGAACAAACACCAAGAAATTATCCATGACACTATATCACTTAAAATTTAATTCCATATCGAGTTATTGTAGTTATTTAATTTTAGAATTTACTACACAAAAAAGGTGAGAGAGAAACCCACACCTTTTGCCTGAAGTTTATGCATTATCATTCCACCTCTTCTTTAAAATGCTCTTTATAAAATAAGAGTAATGAGAAAGAAAAGGAGCTGAGGAAGGGAAATGAACAGCTTCCAAGCATCTCACAGTGCATTGCTAAATTTTATTTAGATCATATAAATTACTTCTCTCAGAGATCAGAAGGATATGGGAATATGCTTCTAATAAACAGACTAAATGCATTCAGTTCCAGCAAATTGGATTCATACCAGCAAGCCTCATGCACTAGTTGACAAAGAGAAAATGATAAAGCTTACCATGCAGCTTAACAGACTAAAATGAACAACTTTTTAAAGGACAGCTTTCCTGAACTAGTCTTACTAGTAATCAAGAATATTTACAGTTCTGATTAATAGTTATTCTGACATATGGCTGATGCATACAATTAATTACAAAATAAGGAAGTGCAATGATTACTGTAAGTATTGTGGGAATAAAATACCTAGAATGGATTTGAAACTTTGCCGTCTGTGAATGTAACATCACACAACAAAAGATCCATAAATCTTTATAGCAATTTCGGTTTATGTTCTGCTTCTGTCTTTTGCAAAGATGAAAATAAGGGTAGCCTGAGGTGTTTTTAATAAGTTTGGCACTGTTTCTCTAAGCAGATAAGCTAACACAGACCTCTCAGCCTTTAAAATGGTTCAAATATTTACCAGTATGTCCATTTTTGAGAATAAGACCTTATGCTTTGTCTCCAGTACACAGCTATTAATTAGCTTCTCAAAACCGCATTATGAGAAGGCAAAACTGCCATTTCAAACCTTGACAGAATTTTAAAACAGCTGAACAAAAAGGTAAGCCTGTTAGCTTATTCTTTTAAGACTTCTCTTTAAATGAACAAGCATGACATAGCAGCAAACTAAACATTAGACCATAATTTGAATCAGAACTAGAAATTGGACAATAAACAGCAGCCACTGTGCACAGCAAGATCAAAAAAAGAGAAGTATTCTTAAATATAATAATCAAATTTACTTTAATCAAAGTAAAGTTAATTAAAGTGCACTTTAATCAAATTTACTACTAGCAGTACTACGTACTGCTGCACATGGTGAAATCCCACTGAAAAAACACAGGGCAAAGCCTAGGTGCTCTACTGAATTTAAAAAGGTAAACACTTTCTTGAAGGAGAAAATACAGTAATTTAATGGGCTTGTTGATGCCAGACACACGTTACCAGGTCAAAGCAACTGCTTCATGAGAAGGTTACAGAGATCTGTTTGCTGGAGATGTGAGCTGGACAGGGCTGCGTGGTAATACTGGCAGTAAAATCACTTTGATAGTAAAAAGTCATTATCTGTTACAAGAGGGGTTTCCACAACTGACCTTAAAATCATACTATCATCATGTCCTATAGGAACAGTTGCTGCAATCGAAACAAAACACATATGGAGTTGCTGGAGCTTTAGAGTTCTGTACATAAGTACACCATTATGTTTCTCAGTGTAGATTAGGCCTAAAATGCTGATTTTTTGGCTGGAATATTTAGGATTTTACTCGCTGACAGTATTAAAGCTTTTTAAAAAGAAGAATCCGGTACACTACACTTTGGCAGTTTACATCCTTTCTACGTTGCTATGACAAATTTTCAAAACAAAATCTTACAGTTTTCTATACATACACTTATGTAGGAGACACACTAGTTAATATAAGGAACCATGTTTTTACCACAGAAATAAAAGGTACATTGGTGCCTTTTCTTCATGTTTGCTCTTTATATTTTTGCTTGCTCTGTCCACAGATATTTTCCACACCCTTCACAGAGATGTGCCGGGAGGTATAGTTCTTGCTTTTTATGAGAAGTTGTAAATACACTAAAATTCTGAGATTATGACATATGACTTCAAAAGTAATTTTTGCTGTTGTTTTTGCCTTTAGGCAAACTAAACTCAAGCCCATCATTCAGATGGGGAGCTCAAACCTAAACACAGAATTTTCTGGCTGTGATCCAACAGGCTTCTTAAAAGAGGCAGACTCATGTGCCAACACAAAGCGCGGCTCGGAGCCTGGAGTCACGGAAAGGAGGGAGGACACTGAGCAATCCTGCCTGCACAAGCTGTTGGCACTTGCATGTCAAAGGGAGGTGCGACGTTCGCCCACTATTTTACTCATTAGCCAGCAAGCCCGATATAACGGCATCAGGGGAAACAAATATCTGCATCTATACATGTATCTATATATATAGATAGATTAGATATAGCTATATTTGTGCGTGCGGGCGGGCGTATATACACATTCCCCCAGTACATGGACAAACATGCTACTTTTTTCCACCCCACAACGTGTTGAACGGCTAGAAACGCGTTTAACGTTGTTTTCCGTTCACTGTCTCTGGCAGGCAGAAAATGCCAGCGAGAGGCAATCGGGGCTGGGTACGGCTCGGGCTACCGGGACACGGCAGGACGAGCGGCGCAGTTCCCAACAACACTTGGCTGAGCGACACGCCAGAGCTCCGGGCTCGGGGACTGACCGGCCCACCGCACGGACAGCAGCGCCTGCCGAGCGCCCCGGGCTCCCGCCGGGAATCGCACCGACGGCAAGTTTTCCTGCCCCCCCGGTGCCCACCGCCGGCGGGACGGGACACCGCGCCGGGACACCGGGACACCCCCGCCCCCCGGCACACCCCCCTCACCCGCGATCCTCAGGCAGGTCTCCAGACCGGCGGGGGGCGGCTGCCGCCGCCGCTCCGCCTCGCCCCCCGCCGCCCGCGACGCCGCGCCCCGCGTCCTCTTCAGCGCGGGCGGCGGCGGGGCTGCGCGGCGCCGCGCCTCGGCCCAGCTCTTCCGCTTCATGGCGGAGGCGGCCGCGGCGCTACGATCCCCTCATGCCGCGGGGACCCGGCGGCCGGAGGGAGGGGAGGGACCCCGCGGCGGCGAGGGCGGCGGCGGCGGCTGACGCGTCCCCGCGGACACCGCCCCCTCCCGCCGCACCTTGGCCCCGCAGCCCGGCGGAGCGCCCGCCGCACCCCCAACGGCCGCCCCTGATTGGGGCGCGCGGTGTGGCGTCACCGGCGCGGAGCGGCGGGGGGGTGACGTCATGGCGGCCGCGGTAACAGGTGGGCCGGGGCACGCGCCCCTCCGCCCCCGCTGCCGCGGCGCCGCCTGTCTGGGCGCGCGGCCGGCCCGCGCTGCTGACGTGGCGCCGGCTGCCCCCGGCGGGGATCGCGGCCCGGCCCGGGGGCCCCGCTCCGGCTCCGCTCCGGCTCCGCTCCTGCCCCGCTCCGGCCCCGCTCCGGCCCCGCTCCGGCCCCGCTCCTACCCCGCCGCCTCGCAGCCCTCCAGGTGCCCTTCCTGACCCGTACCGAGAGAGGAGCCCGAGCACTCGGTACTTTGTAAAGCCAGCTCAAAACAGTTCAGTTGCATGCAGTCTTCTGGTCTGAACGTTAAATGGGCTGATCCGGAAAGTTTAAATAACTGTGTTTGAATCTGCCTCTTAGATACAGCGATACTTTACAATATGCAGTTATTTTAAATGGCCGTAGCACTAAACCAAGCCGGTAGGTAAAACAGCTTCTGAGAACCACTCCCTTCCCACCTCCGTCTAATGGCCATGATGAAAGCTCTGGAGGGAGTATTCTACCCTCTGCTGAGTGTGTGTACTTATGGAGGAAAACCTGCTGGAAACATTCTAGTAGCCGCTATTCACTGCATGACTTTTTAAAAAAATATCCTTTCTAAATAACACCAGTCACCTAAAATTCTTCTGACACTTCGGAAACAAATTCTCCCAAGGGTGACTGTGGCCATCGTTGTTCCAATTCATTATAAATGCGAGTCATTGTCTCGCAGGGGTCAAGCAAACTGTCTCAAGCTGTGGCCAGATGCAAAAGGCAGGGCCAATGCCCTGATTAGGACACCTCAGCTCTTCTGCTGAATCCTCCTCTCTCTTCCTCTCTCCTTTTTTTTGTCTGCAGTTTGTGAGTCTTTCTGAAGAAGTGATTTTGCTGGGATAACACAGAGGTTGTGATATGGTTCCTTTCAGTATTGAAATAATAAGGGTAGATTACTTCTACCTAAAGAGCTGTAAAACTACAGTTTAATTAACTACAATATATTTTAATCGTCCATAATTCTTTTAGCTGTAGTTAATTTTTAAAAATGTGTTTATTAGGACCAACAGAACTATTACCGTTGTATATTCTTTTAATTTTACTAAAAGCAAAAGAAGCAGGAAGGCAGCTAGAATGTTCCTTTTAAAATCAAAAGCACCAAGAACAACTGCAAAATAAAAGTGGAACAAGAATCAGTGCCCTTAACTGTGATTATCAGGTTAATGAAGCAGAGTGGAAGCCCTACAAATCAACTGGCTATTCATCATTCATTGTCTTTGAAAATAATTTTTATTTGTTTATTGTCTCTGTTTTACAAACATATGACCAGTTTTCCAGCCTGCTTTTGGCTGTTTAAGTAACATGAGGCAAAGAGGCAGATGCATTCCAGAGTTCTGAAAAATATTGTTGAGCTGGGGGACTGCTGGAGGGAGGAGGCAGCTCCTTATTTGAGACTGTAGGAACAGTGGTTCGTGAAAAGCAGGCTTCACTCCCCTGTGAGCCTGAGCTGTCTGTCCCAGTCTGTTATGCCGAGTTTGAGGAACCCCTCTGAAACCACAGGGGTTCAGAGTCTGCATGTGACTACCTTTAGCCCATTGCTGTGTGCTGTTCAGTCAAAGCATGGAACTGACAACTGTATCTTGCCATTCATAAAATCCTTCTAAACATGTAATATCAATATAAGGGTGTAATGAATAAGTTGCTGAGACATAGTATCTTTAATAGAATTACATTGTTCAGTATTGTTATGTTTCTAACACGAGCCTTTTATTTTTTATCAAGGAACAGTGCACTTAATTTCACATGCTCTTAATGGTGTAAAGCTTTCCAGACCTTGCTCTGGGCCTGCCAGTGACCTTAATGAATGCAGGAACAAACATCTTCACAAAATGCCATTTCACAGTTGCATTAAAGCTTAAAAGGGGTGAAAATTTGCAGTTGAGACATGTATGTATGGTAACATTTTACAGTGAGGGTCAAAGATCAAAGGCTGCAGAGAAGGATATGCTCCTCCATAAATCTTGGACATTTTTTTTTTTCAAATTGCTAAAAAAGTGTATCCTAGATGAAAGAGGGCACATCTACTTTAATGAAACCAATAGATGTTGAACATAAACATCTGTAGATAAATGAATAATATGAAATATGCCAGAACTGCAAACCAGAAAGAATGCTGTTATGCTTACTTCAGTTGTCTAAAACAGAAATAACTAAGAACAATTTATTCTGAGACCTCTTGCTCTGAGAGAAAATACGAACATACAAAGGAAGAACATCCTGCTGCAAATCTTCATAGGAAAACAAATAATTTGGCTTACTCCAAAACCAATCATCTGACCAGTTAAAAATTAAGACCCACCTCTCTCTGTTCTTACAGACCCATGTTTTTGTATCACACAAAAGAACTGCAGACAATACAGGATGATGTATTTAAAATTTTTATTTGGATTTGTGAAATGTGTTTCTTAACTTCTGCCACTGCCAGATGCAAATGAAGTCCAGGTGTTCAAAACTGTGGCTTTTCAAGGTATATTTCGATACAAAATTGTCATACAGTGCTGGAAGCTTTAAAACAGTGCTGAAAAGTCTTGGATTGAAAGCCAGTGTTGATCTGCTGAAGGCAGGAATCCCAAGTTCTTCCTGAGCAAAATCTGATTTCTTACCTTAGTGCACCTTGAACAACGATGTTTAAAAAAACACTGGCAAGTTTGTCTGATGAGCCAATAATAAGCTCCAGGATTTTTTGCAATCAGTCTGAGTTGTGTTTTGTTTTTTATTATCTTGTACTCAATGGAAATAACACTTTTATATCCATCTCTAGTGTCAGGCAGTTTATTCTATGCTCTGATTTTCTACATAAGGTTTCAGATGTCCCACAAAGAAGCAACAGAAGCAATGCTTGTTGTAATTCACCAGAGAGCTGTTCTTGTAGAGCACAAATTTACAAAAAAAGTATACATTGCTTCAGTGTCATATGTCAATAATCTGGGGTTTGTTTGAGAAATTCACTGTTTTAACTCCTGCCAGCTGCAAGATTGTATTAATGGGAACATGATCCAGCCTGTTTTTATCAAGGTGCAAAAAATGAACTTCGTTGCCTGGAATGAGAATAACATGTAAATTATTGAATAACATATTTATTTATTCAAAGATGTAAGTGTATTGAAGCAGCATTCTGACTACCTACCAGTTACCGTACAAATGTGTACTAGTTCTGTAGACTGCACGTATTCCGTATTTTAAGCAATGACAAAATGTTTTTTAATTATATTAAAGAAGCAAGGAACATTGACACACTTAACTACTTTAAATCTGCTATAGCAGGATGTTTCCTAATAATGTGGTGACTGTTGCAATTCCCCCTTCATGCTCTACCCCTCTAGTAAAACCACATTAAATGTCTCAAATCACATGTGAACGCAGAATGTAGGTAAATACTACAATGTCAAGAAAACCCTCCAGACTTTGAGGCAGTTGTTCCATCACTGATCCAACCAATTTCTGCGGTACTGTGATCAGGTTTATGCCACCTCTGTGGGAGATGGGACTATGCAATGACATTCTGCAGATTTCTTCATGCGACAGAAATCACACAGTTCAACACCAGACTGTCTCCTTGGGACCCACAGAGACAAAAGGCAAAATGGCAGCAAATAGCTAAAGGAGACAGTGGTGACTTTCACACAAAACAAAGCAGCTCACCTGGGCCTAAAATCAAAGCTCCTCCCTGCTGAGCAGGGTCTCCTTGAAAATCAAAAGCTGGGCCAGTCATTGCTCTCCATATACTTCTAATACTTCCCAGAAGAGTGTTTGATTTCACATGAGGGCTCTGAACTAAACAAAACCACAAAACACTTGTTATGTGGAAATATGAAAGTATATAAGAGCAACAACAATTAACAGCTGCTATGAATACTTTAGAGATTCCTGAGTACCAGTGTTTCCACAAAATATAGCCTGCGAGACACAGTCTGGTGGGCAACTAATTTTCTCTTTACATTGTGATCCCACAATTTTATCAGGGCATTTCTCTTTTGTTTGTGAAAGTCTAAATAAGATGAGAAAATCATTCTTACCTGATGCTTTATTACCTTCACCTCTTTTCATCCCAAGTATTTTATAAATTTCTCTTTGTGGATCTACATACATTTCATGTGTATATCCTGTTAAACTGCAAAAAGGCTGCAAAATATAGGCATAGATATAGACAGACACAGAAAAATAAAGTAATATTTGTAAGGTTAAGGCAGTAACTAGCTAGGGTTTACTGACAACAGCAAAAATACCAACACCCTCCCAGCTTCATGCTCCCCCCTCTTATTTGAGAGCTGTGTATTTGTTAGTTATGTTAAAGTACAAAATTTTTAGCCTCAAAGCTTCTATTAAAACAAAGCTTCCAGTGAAATCAAGAAAGGATGTTTCCTTAGCAACCCCTGGTGGCTTTTAAACTGCAAGTTTTAATTATTTGCTTTAGTCATGTATTACTATTAGAATTGCCTCATGAACACTATCCTTTTTTCCTGTTGCAAAAGACTACCTTTTCATGCAAACCAAATTCCTCAGTACAGACCAAGAGGACATAATAGAGGATTCATTGTATTTAATGACCACTTTATTTACCTTGATGTGATGATATGATGACTGTCCAATAACTATAAGTCTCACATTTGATTCCTAGAACAGAAGATGGGTATTGAAGCTGTAAAGAGGAAGTGAGTGTCCTACATGACTTCAAAACATTGCCAGAATCTGGTGTGCCAAGTTAGTGATCACAGTGCACTGACTTAAAATTATTTGACGTTAACATAACTTTCATGTTTGGAGACTGTACTTTTGTATATCACCCACAATTAGCAGCAACATTAATTTTTTAAGTGAAAAATTATTTTTAAATATAATTTTTAAATTACAGTTGTGTAATCTTTAAGTTTCCTGTAGCATTGATAGGATTGTCTTTTCAATTAATTGCACCATTATATGATTTTGGAAACTCAAAATTTCCACTCAATTGCACCTACATCCAAAGAAGAAGCACAAAAATGATGGTGCCCAAACATTTGGGATTTACATATATGGACCCATTGATAGATATAACTTGCATTTACATGCACTGCTGTTTTTTGCAGATGCAGCCTTAGGTCTGAGTCTGTAAAACAGAGCCCAGAATTGAAGTTCATTTAGATATCACTAAAACCAATCCTAAATATAAGGTTGTTTTATTATATATTTGCCTTTCCCATATAAAATGATTTTGCTAGTTATGAAAAGAAGCCCTCCTAAAATCAGAATCCTTGCATTAAGAAAAGCCCATTCTTAACTGACATTTTTGACTCTCTAGATACATTTATTTGAGGAGCCAAATTAAGAAAATGTCCTTTTGAGTAGGTTTAGAAGTGTCTATCCTGAGAAGGGAATCTGACAAAGAAATTGCCCCTTTTTGTCCTCATAATTCCTAATCCATCTCAGATGGACTTAGATGGAGTTGCCATCAGCAATGACCTGAGTCTCTGTCATTGGCTATGCTGCTGTTGGGAATAAAGTACAGCAGAATTTCAATCAGCAGTCTAGAAGAGACAGATTGACCTTCCACATTTAGCAGAAGATCATTGTCTTCTCTGGCATCTCCTACCACCCAAAAAACTCATATCAATAGCAACCCCTCCCACTCTACTTCTGTTTTCTGTCACTGTCATTCCTGTTTGTGCAGCTGCCCTCGAGAGCAGGACACACTACTAATGTACTTTACATATCACCATAGAAAAAGATCCTATTTTTAATCCAGATCAATTTTCTGATCTTGTTCTGTGCACATCAGCTGGCCCTACTAGCATAATGGAAAGGGCGGTAGTTAGCAGTCAGAAGACAGCTGTCCAGGGCACTACTAATACTGAAAGAAATGCCTGTCAGATGTTGTCTAACTGTTCTGAGCACAACAGTAAAAAGAGCACCAAGCTAATAGGGCAGGGAGAAATAATGCTGTTCCAACAGAGCGTGCAGTGCCATAAATCCTTTCCTGTGTCTCCTAGGCAGATTCATTACTGCTATTGTAGCAAACAATGAAAGTGCTTCTTCTGAGCCTTTTTTTTTATTCCTCGAAGCTTTATGTAAGTGCGTAGCTGGACATAACAGATCTGCTTGATTGCGGCCACAAACACATTAAGAGCAGAGTACTTACTTGTAAAAATGCCTTGGGGACTTTTGCCAGATCTTCTACGTACTCCTTGCAGGTGTAACACAAAAAGTTCTGCAATGTACCCAATTGAATGTGTCAGAAACAGATACAACTGCATAGATAGGAAGCAGCAGACTTTGGACACACACCACTTTGGAGGTGATCAGGAACAAGGAATGGGAAAGATTCCAACCACAAAATTTGGATTCGGATACTGGTTTAACCCAAGCCTGAACAAGGACACTGGGCCTGCGGCCTTGCAAATATTTTTATCTCTAGATATTTTAGTAATGTGATAGCTGGCTCGACAGCCGGGAAATCAAGGAACACGATACTTGTTTCCCTAAACACCCGGCTGAAGAAGTATTTCCTTTCTGGTAAATAGTGCTTCACTTTACCAAAGAACAGGGGTCTCAAGAGCAGCACGGCTCTCCTTTGTTTCCTGCCCAGCCTGCTAAGCCCCAGCACCGCCGCCCTCCCACAGCCCCGCCGGGAGCCGGGCTGGGCCCCGCGACGGCCCCTCCTCACCCGCACGAACAGCACGATCGCTTTCTGCTCCGCGTACAGAGTCTGGAAGGGGACGCTCCTGCCGTCCGCGTCCAGCACCGGGCAGCGGGCGGCCTCCCGCAGCTGCTCCTGCTCCGGCCGCCGCCCGCAGCCCCGCGCCCGCCCGACCTGCTGCGTGACCGGGGGCGCCGGCGGCCCGGCCATGGGAGCGCGGAAGGGAAAGGCGGAGCTGGAGCGGAAAGGCGCCGGGCGTTGTGCGACGGTGAGGAAGCGACGGGCCCAGGACGGAGCGGAGCGGTTCGCTCCCGGCCGGGGGAGCGACCTCGGGCAGCCGCGCCGAGGCCCAGGAGGAGGCGGGGGATTCGGATGGAGAGAGCGAACAACCTGCGGCCCAACCCGCTGCGCGTCCGTCAGCCAGAGACGGGGTGCAGTTTGTGCCCGAGAAACAGCAGAGTCACCCGGAGCTTCCCAGGAATGGTGTGCAAGCAGGAGCAGTGACATGGCCGCACGGCCCTCGAGGTCGGCGTTCTTTTTGCGGGAGGCCGCAGCCCTGCAGAGGGCCGTAAGCGAGATGGAAAACTTGTGGAGGAGTTGTCCAGCTGCTCGGTTTTTGTGTCAGACAAAAACCGCATCAAACCCAAAGTCCTTGTTCATGCAAAAGCAGAGCTTCACAGTGTCTTGACAGCTGAATAGCAGATGCTCGAGTGCACACAGAAATGAGTGAACAGTTCTTACAAAAATGGAAACACTATGTCGTTGAAGAGTATTATAGTATTTTAGATTGTTGTGTCAGCTGAAAGTTTATGAGAATGAGGGTACTTTTCTTAGTGGGCAGAGGAAAAAGAAATATCAGAGAGAATAGGACTGGGGGGAATCCCGAGAATTTTTTCTGCTTCGTGAAACTGTCTGATTTTATTAATTCCAAAGTATCTCTTGGCAGACTGTTGTGGGGTCTGTATGTTAGTGTGGTCCAAACTTACATCTCCTGTGCTTTGGGTTAAGCCGCTGCTTTTATATTAGCAGGACTGAGCACATAGAACAGGTTAAGTCTTACATTTCAATATGTCCTCACAAGGACTTTGATTTGAAAGGTGATGAATTCAAATTAGTAAAGATTTGTAAAGAACTTCAGAAAATTGTGAAACTTACAATTCTCCAATGCAGTTGGATCCAATGATTTTAAAGATCTTTTCCAACATAAGTAATTCTATGATTCTGGAAGAATATGGTCAGTTGTTTTTATCAGGCTTCCTTGTTCAGTTATTAGTATGTTAGAAGAATGCAGCACACTTCTTCCCCTGGCAGTTCATAAACCAAACTGTGCGCTGTGTGCTGTGTGCAGCAGCCCTGTGGCTCCCTCAGCAGTACTGATGGGAATGTGCTGCCTACCCTTGACTACTGCAGGACATAGCAAGGCGGACAACTGACAGCTTTTGACAAGCTTTGGTCTTCATCTTGAAGCTGAAGTGATGGGTAATCTTGTTGTGTTATGCCTGCGGTAAGCACTGGGCAGGACTCAGGGGCACAGCTCAGGACTCGATCATCAGGAGAGCTTAAACCAAGGCCCTTGCCACTGCAGCTGGAAGTCAGAAGAAGCAGTCGTATCACTGTAGGGGATCTGCTGATGAAAAGAATTGTGCCTTGTAGTGTCACAAGCTCAGAAGACACTGCCCCAGGTCAGTCTGCACACAGCTGACCTGGTGCATCCAGAGAGCTTGTTCTTTCTTGATTTGAAATGAAATCTCCTGAGGAGCCCAAGAGAGACACTCTGCCTGTCTGGGAGAGGTGGTAATCATTCCTACTAGGCCAATGAAGACTGCCTGCAGACTTTGCTTTATGTAATTTGGCCTCCTTAAACTAGCTGAAGAAGCACATCCTTAACAACTGGTTTCAGTAGTATACAAGTGAGGAACAGCAACTTTCTTCTGAGGGTATTTGCCAAAGCATTCTCTAAAACCCCTCAAGCACCATGTTTCTAACTTTTGGTAGAGAATCTTAAGTGTTGTGAGAATACAAATACAAATTGCTGTCACCCCCACTTTTGTAGAGAAAGGGCAGAAGGGAAGGCAGTTGTACTCTAGCATGTTCTCTGAAAGAAGAAACACTCAAAATTAGCAGTCATGTTTTGAAAGCTGAAGCTTAAAGCCGTTCATTAATACATGCTTAACAGAAATGCAGATGTAAGTTTTTCTTAGATGGGAGGAAACAATCCATATCTGTTGAACAGTACTAACTACCTAAGTGTGCAGTCTACTAAAACTATATAATTCTTGTATGTGTGCTGTGAATAGGGAAATTTCCTTTTCTTTCCCTTCCCTCTTTTCTTTATAGCTCACAAATGTAGAAATGTGGATAACTTAAAAAAACACATTTGTCAGAGTGATGTATTTTTCATTGTCCTAAGGAGAATCAATCAGTGCATTTACATTATTAATTTTGATTCAGGATGCAAGTCACTCTTTTCATTGAAGTGCAATTTACAGTAGAGGGAAACGTAGCTAATATTTAATTAATCAAGTGTTGGGTTACTTTGTACTGCGGATAAGAAATTCAAATTCCTACCATTTCAAGAGGGAAGATAGTAATTACACAAATACGGTGGTTAATTTATTTGTTCTTTATTGACTAGTGAAACAAAATACCAGCTGTAATTATGCAACCTTAATTCCTTTGTATACTGCAGCTACACAAAATATTTGACAAGAGAAGTGTGGCCTGTATCAATGCCATAAATGCACTACCTAAAGTATTTGGTGTTTATTTGTAAAGCAACATGTTATTATCAATTTACTGCACAATGTACTGTTTATTTAACACAAGGATATTTGTTCTTGCTAATCTAATATTGTTTAGCTAGAGATAACAAGGTTATTACTTATCAGCAGAAACAAATTAGTGTTTACAATTCCAGGGAAAAACATCATGCTAAACACTAGCTAAGAATTAGTTGTTTTTAAACTGTTGTTGTAATAACAAAGGAGTAAAAGTGTGTACTGTCCTGTAAATAAGAGAGATTCTTCTCTATAAGGATGGTGAGAGAAGTACCCTAGAGAAGTTGTGGACTTCCTGTCCCAGATAGTGTTCAAAGCCAGGCTGAATGGAGCTTGGAGCAGCCTTGTGCAGAGGAAGGTTCCCTACCCATGGCAGGGGGCAGAACTGGATGATCTTTTAAAGTCCCTTCCAACTCAAACTATTTTATGATTCTATGCTTTTTCCTTTATGTCTGCCTTTCATTGTTCCTTTAGTCTCGCAATATCCTGGAGGTATGATGGAATAGCATCATGGAGTGATTCTTCCAACCAGCAAGGACAATACCCTTTTCCTGACCCTGAGATGCGGCAACTGAGAGGCATTTAAAAAACTTGTATTCCATTTATTGTCCAGCAAGGACAGTAATTTGGACTTTGAAGTAATTTTGCAAAAGGTGAGTTAATCTCTACTTTCGCTACCTGCTGTGTGTACTCATCCTGATGTTATTTCTCATTAGTTTTGCTTCCTGTTTTGTGTTCTGTGGTTGTTTTTTTATTGTTTGTTGGTTTTGTGTGTATGGTTTTTTGTTTGGTTTGGTTTGTGCTTCTCTATTTTTGTTTATTGAGGGAAGATTGGCTGTTTGTTTTTTTTCCCTGAAGGGGGAGTTATTACCATTTCAAAGCTTGCCTAAGTTTTGCTTTTTGGCTCCATTTAAAAGTTCAAGATTATTTACCAGACTAAAGGGCTTTGTAAGTCTGGCTGCAGTGTCAGAGTATCAGTGTGTATTTCGTACTTACTAACTGTTGTTTCAGAACACAGATAATAGAAATGTAATTTAAAATCTACTCAAATAGTTCAGGGATTATAATGACGTATGGAGAGAAAATATTTTTCCTGTTAAATCTATTTAGTTTAGTAAAGCAAACCCTACAGAGAGAGCAGAAGTACAAACTTTACTACACAACAAAATAACAGTATTAATTGAAACTTGCACATTTTATTTAATATAGCCTCCAGGCACAAAGAGAACTTTTAAAACTCTCTGAATTGGATCTATTCTGCTTTGCAGCTACCTACTCTGTGCTGCAAATGAGAAACAGAGATGACCATCTATGTGTCAATCACAGTAAATTATGTGTGAAGATGCTGTTTATTTACTCTAAGTGCCACTGCTTTGAATATTTTTAAAATAACTAAGAGGTAGCAAAATACTACTGAAATAGATGAGACATGGTCAAAAAACAAATAACAGATATGCTACAATCCAGACAGGCCAAACAGAATTGTCTTGTATCTTGTTAGCAATAAGGCTCTTAGAAAGTAAGCTAATTATCTTTAGTGTAAACCAGATGAGAGGATTAAGAAATAAAGAATGTGAAAAAAAGCAGATGTGATTTCATGGAGTGTCCAGGGAAAATTAAGCCTCACTTAAGACTGGTGTCTTGCAAAGTAAACAAAAACTTATTGAAAACTTTAGATACTGTTTCTTTTTTAACTTCTAACCCCTCCCCCTTCATTTTTTGCTTATATGGAAAAGTGTGTTGTGAGAAGGCTGTAGTTCCCAGCTACTATTTTCTATATTTCCTATGTTCTTATAGAGTTGGAGGTATACTTAGCAGTAGATTCAGTTCAAATGGCTCTTTTATTTATGACAACATTGATATTTAGCTACAGTTGAGGCCAGTGGATGGTATAATATTTTCGCTGGAGGCTAATAGCTTTTGCTGATTATAGCACACACTTGAAACAGATCTCATTTATTTCTTGGTATATAATTAAGAGTAGCATCACTTTAGCATCAGACATATCTCTTGAGCCTCTTTGCTAGAGGATCAATTAGAAACCCAGGCCAGTTCTCATAAAGAGATGGATTTGATTTTTTCACAAGCTTGCCTGACTATATCCTAAGGACTACAAATGCATGACCCATGTCCACTCTTCTGCCTTTCAAATTTGGCTAAAACTTGTTGCCTCTCTTAATATTGACTGACTGACATGATGTATGTGCCAAACTCTGATGGAGTAAGCCACAGTTTTCATTTAGTGGGTACTTTCTTAAGAAATTATTTAAATAAGAAAAGGAGTCCAAAGATAAAGTGTCTAATGCCCATGTGAACCCTTAATCAGAAGCTTTAGACATTACAGCTTTCCAGCTGGCTCTCCTAGGAGGGCCTTTAAAATCCTCTCCAGTGGAAATAATGTGTTTGGTTTGTTAACAATGAAAGCATCTACTGCAGCCGGTAAAATTCATGCTGGAGCTGAGGTGGAGGGCCTAGCCCTGAAAGCCTTTTTGGGCTGGGGTTCATGTGGATGCTGGCATGTATCCTGCACTTGGTGCTTTGAGGGATAATCGTTGGCTTACGGCTCAAAAATATGGCCCCTTCTGTGCCTTCAATGTTTAAGCAAGAAAGCTGTTTTTCCTTATGTTGTTTGCACCATAATTTTGTTACTTACTTAAACGAAGATGTCAATCTGCTCCAGATTTTTCTTTCTTAATGAAGCTATTTATTCTTTCCCTATTTTCAATTCCTATTTTCAATTATCTTTTTAATATATTTCGAATGCAGTCATTTGTTTATGTACAAAACTAGCAGTTAAAGTGAAGATCAGAAAAAAAAGGCAAATATAGATACATGGAATACTTTAGTTGGAGACAACCATAAATTAACATATATTAACATATCAGCTAAACCACAAATTCTTTAACTAAAATGTCTGTAAATGTAAAATAAGTGTTATCTTTCTTTGCATATTGGTGAAAGGCCATTCAAATGAATTCAAATTTATGTACTGTTGTTTCATTACATCATCATCTTTCATGTTATAAGTTAGAATGTACAATGTCCTTCTGTCTGCAACGTAAGATTTCACAGGTAAAAGCTAAAGAATACAGTGTACAAAACCAAAATCTGTTAAAAAAGAAGAAGAAAATAATGGCAAAGGAATGAAAATTCCCTCTAAGCTCTGTTTTTCTTTTTTTTTATTTTCCTCATTGTTCCTC